AAAAACTAAATAATAAATTCATAATCTAAATACGCATTGAAAATTAGATTAACTTAACTCTTTTTTTTCAATATGGCATGTATACTAAATTTGAATTTATCAGTGGCCACAAAAAATATTTTTCGCACAAATATGTATCATGCATGCGCACATCGCGTGCACTTGGAGTGCTAGTGTATAATTAATTAAGCGAAAGAGGCTTAATTATGAGTTACATTTTACAGTACAGCCAGGAAATACAGTAGAAAATAGATGAAACCCTAATTTCATTGATAAGATAACATGGACTTATATAAGCCCTACAAAACACATCTTACAAATAACCCCTTACATAATATAAATATGTTAATACTCCTCCTCAAGATGGGCGAAAGATATCCACTAAACCTATCTTGTCATATCCTCTAATCATATCTACTGAGCTAAGTCCCTTAGTCAGACAATCTGTTGCCTAGTCCTTAGTTAAAACATGACTTAGCTACAGTAATCCACTATCCAACTTCTCTTTGATGAAGAACCTATCGATCTTTATGTGTTTGGTTCTATCATGCTGCACTGGGTTATTGGCGATACTAATGGCTGACTTGTTATCACACCACAACTTCATCTTAGCTCCTTGATCCAGCTTCAGCTCCACCAGCATACTCTTCAACCATAGCAACTCAGTAACTCCTAAGGCCATAGCTCTATACTCTGCCTCAGCTGTCGATCTCGCCACCACTGACTGCTTCTTGCTCTTCCATGAGACCAAGTTGCCTCCTATAAAGATACAGTATCCTGAGGTGGACCTCCTGTCATCAGCACAGCTAGCCCAATCAGAGTCGCAGTAACCCTCAATGCTCACATGTCCATTCTTTCTTAATATCAGCTCTTTTCCGGGGGTACTCTTCAAATATCTCAGAATCTGGTACACAGCGTCCATATGACCCTTCCTCGGATCATACATGTAACGGCTCACCACGCTCACTACAAAAGAGATATCGGGATGTGTGTGACTCGGATAGATCAACCTGCCCACCAGCCTTTGGTATCTGTCACGATCAACTGGTTCTCCAGCTTTAGCACCCAGTTTGAACTTCTGGTCGATCGGTGTAGTTGCAGGTTTGCACCCTAACATCCTTGTCTCTTTGAGAAGATCCAGTGCATACTTTCTCTGGGATAGGACAATCTCATCCGCTCCTCGAGCTATCTCTATTCCAAGAAAGTATCGAAGCAAGCCAAGATCTTTCACCTCGAATTCCTTACCTAGTCTCACTTTGAGTTGGGCAATCTCCTTCTCATCATCCCCTGTAATAATCATATCATCCATATATACGGCAAGCATGGTGATGTGACCTTCACTCCGTCGAAAGAACACGGTATGATCGGCGTTAATCTGCCGGTATCCCATACCTATCATAGCCTGCCTGAATCTGTCGAACCAAGCACGGGGAGATTGCTTCAGGACATATAAAGACTTCTTCAATCTGCAGACCTTGCCCACTGTCTGATCTGTGTCGAATCTTGGTGGTATTTCCATGTATACCTCTTTCACTAGATCTCCATAAAGAAATTCATTCTTCACATCTAGTTAGTGTAGCTTCCATCCACCATTTACTATCAGAGAGATCAAGGTCCGAACAGTGCTCGTCTTCGCCACCGGTGCAAAAATCTCATTATAGTCGATTCCATACGTCTGACTATACCCTTTTTCCACAAGACGAGCCTTATAACGCTCAACCTGTCCATCTGGATTCTGTTTCACAATGAAGACCCACTTGCATCCAACTTCTCTTTTCCCTTTTGGTAGTTTTACTAACTCCCAAGTGCGGTTCTTCTCAAGAGCCCCCAGCTCGTCATGCATAGCCGTTTTCCACTTTGGGTCCTTCTTAGCAATCTGCCAATTGTTAGGTACAGTAGCAGAGTCCAATGATGTAATGAATACTCCATGTGCATGATGAATGTTAGAATATGATACAAACTGGGCAAGATCTCATCCATATCTATCGGGAGGATTTCCCGCATTACTGTGAGTAGTCCTCCGTACTGATATTGGTGTGGGAGGAGTAGGGAGAGGAATGTTATCACCTTGGAAAGAATCTGGTGGTGATGTAGGTGTCTCAAGAGTCGGAACAGGCGTTGGCAAGGGACTTGGCAGCACTACTGGCACTATAGGTATTGTTCCTGTAATCTGCTTCCCCTTCCTACTATAGGTTAGTAGCTCCCCCTGAACCGTGGGCCTAACACCTCTTGTCTCCTTCTCCTCTTATTCTTCATTCTCCTGCTCCTCCTCAGCCAATTCTTCCTCCCAAGGAATCGATACCGAAATCGATTTCTCCATATTATTCTCTACATTGTTCACCTGCCTCTCACAATTCTCCCCCTCTCGCCTCCTACTTCTAATATCGGGCGAGTCACCAACGGGTGAGGTTACCTTCCGGGTATAATATGGCTCGAGTTATCGAAAGTGTACATTCATGCTCACAAACAGCCTCTTCTCCACCGGGCTCCAGCAAACATATCCCTTCTGAGTAGCAGAATATCCCACTGTGGCGGCGATCGACTGGACCAATGAGTTGAGGAGCCAGATGTACACCAACATATGAGTGGACTTCCACTCATCTCTTCCCTCTAAGTCCTCATCCGGTTCTGTCTTCTCTCCTGTCAAGTAACCCCCCCAGGTTCCTCCCTGCAAGGGTGTATCTCACCCACCGTGACCAGCTCAGGTAAGTACCTGGTCCATCAAGCTTCAGATCGATGGTCGGAAGCTCCAACTTCTTCGATGGTCTTGTCGCGCTCTCATCAGCTGACAACTTCATCAACTTCATCAAAGTTGACACCTCTGCATGGTTTAACTTCTTGATGATCTCCTCCATCGATCAGGCTTCAGATCCAATACATGTTCACCTTTTCTTCAAACCCTTGTTGTGCGCAGTAAAATTTTCGGCAGCACTTCTGCTGCACAACAAGAGTAAGATCTCAACAAAAAATTCTCGTTTCTCAGAGGAAACAAGAATTGAAAGTGATATATCTCATCTCCGTGAGATATATACTCTTCCTCTCATCAGTTCTAGGACTGAAATGTCGAGGGAATCGAACAAGCTCCTCTCATCAGTTCTATGACTGAGATGTTGAGGGTATCTAGCAAGCTACAAATCATAGGGCTGGGGTTTCGGCTAAGGGGGGGGTTCGAGACCACCGGGGGATACGAGGGCGCGCGAGACCGGGGGGGCTGCGAGACCGGGGGGGCTGCGGTAGTGCTGCGGGGGGCTACGAGGGTGGCTGCGAGACCGTCGGGGGGGGGGGTTGCGAGGGGGCAGCAAGGGGAGGGTGCTCCGAGGGGCAGCCAGAGAGGGGGGCGCAGCTGGGGGCGCGAGAGGGGAGCAGCGGCCAGTGCCGGTTCTGAGATTTTAGGGGCCCTGTGCGAAAGTAAACAAATAAACACATGACATCTATATACAAAATATCAATAAATTCCAATTTGCTCTTTTTGGAGGAGAGAGTCGGCATATCTATTTGTGATTCTGTGAAGATTGGTTGCTTCTTTTGAAGGAAGGGGTTTTGACGTGGACGGTTGAGATTAAGGGTTGTGAAATAGACGGTCCATATTTGCTCTCCCTATATATATAAATATAAATTAAAAAAATTTGGGGCCCCCAATTTCGGGGCCTGTGCGGACGAACAGGTTGAACTCCCAAGAGCGGTTCCCTGAGCGGCTAGGGTTTGGAGGGTGGCTCTGATACCAAGTAGAAAATAGATAAAACCCTAATTTCATTGATAAGATAACATGGGCTTATATAAGCCCTACAAAACCCATCTTACAAATAATCCCTTGCATAATATAAATATGTCAACAAATACCCTCAAATTTGGGAAGAAACTGCGACAGATATCCATGCACTTGGGAAAAATTACAAAATTAACTTCGCACGTGAAAAAAAAAACTACAGGGAAGCTGTCACACTTGGAAAAAAAATCCAAATTTTACAAACTATTTTACAAACTATTTATAGTCCGCGCGTAGTCCAATTGTCAAGAGAATGGACAAGCAATTAGTGTGTTGCATTGGAATTTGGAAACTTCTATAGCTGACATGCACTCCACCTCCTACAGTGTTCTTATTGTCCAGCTCTTAGGGCAGTTTTGCCAATTTTAACTTATAATCTACTTGGCTTATAATCTACAAATAGCTTATAAATTAAGTGATTACAAGCCACTGAACCCCTTAGAAACCATTTAAACTGGAGCTATACAAGCAATCACGTGTACTTTAGGGTACTTTTAATGAATTTACTAACCGTGGAATGTCTACATTTCTTCATTCGAGTTTACTTACATCAAAGTGGGATTTAACAATAATAAAAATGAGAGCATATACTTCATTATACGGTTGTCACCTGTGCTTATTCAGTAATATATTTGATACTTGAATGTACAAGGTAGTGTAATGGCAGCCAAAAGTTGCAAAATATTTTGCATTCGACGATCAATGTAGGTCGAAGCATTACGGAAATTATTTTTTAATTGGATTCAAATTAATCCAATTGGTGACCATAATGAACTCTCATTTTTCTCTAAATATAATGATAGCTTTCTTGATGAGACAAGTTAACACAAAGTCGTCTTCTACAAGAGATTAATATACTTAGTTAATGATTGCTTCTTCCATTAATTAATTAAACGACTGATTAATACAACTCTTCACCCAAAATAAAAATGAGTAGAGGCTTCATCAGAAACAAATTGTATTAACTAAACCATTTGATTATCTATTTAGATTGAGTGACATCTTTAATTTTAGTGTAGAATAGGCCAATCTCATACCACTTTGCATCTCTTGTACAAAATTGACCAAGTACTAAGTAGTATTTTAAAAATAGTTCGTTGTTGCCATGTCATAAGCATGTTTCCTCGTTAAGAAAATATATAGAATGAACTAAGATACTAGTCATGTATTCATGGCTGTATAAATCTAAGCATATAGAGATCTCTAAGAACACATTAGTTCCTTACTAAGTTCCTGTTTTTGTTCTCTAAGTTTTGAACAATGGCTACTGAAAATGTTGAAATCACGGTGACTCCACGACTCATCCCTCCACCTTGTATGGGAAATTTAATTACAGTGCTAAGTATTGATGGAGGGGGAGTTAGAGGCATCATCCCAGGAACCATCCTTGCTTTTCTTGAATCAAAGCTTCAAGTAGCTAGACCCCCTTCAATATTGAACACGTAATGTATTTATTTGTTCATTACAGTTTTTGAGGGGTTTTTTTTTTCCCTGTTGATTTTTAGGAACTTGATGGTGAGGATGTGAGGCTAGCTGACTATTTTGATGTGATCGCGGGGACAAGTACTGGTGGTCTTTTGACTGCAATGCTTGCAGCTCCTAACAAGGATAACAGGCCACTCTTTAGAGCTAAAGAGATTGTTGATTTCTATTTAGAGAATTGCCCCAAGATTTTCCCTCAGAAAAAGTGAGTTCAACAAGATAACAAATTTCAGGACTTTCTTTATGCTAATTCTTAAATTTAATCTTAATTTGTATATTGATAGCTTTAGTAATGATTTTTTTTTTTTTTTTTTGCTGCAGTAGTTTCAGATTTAGCCTTATAGTTAGACTGGATTATTTCGATTTTTTTTTTTTTTTTTTGCTGCAGTAGTTTCAGATTTAGCCTTATAGTTAGACTGGATTATTTCTACTCTAGTAGGATGCTGTATTTTTCACATCCGTCAAATAATAACAAAACTTTAAATGACTTGAGAAAATAAGTATAACAAAACGTAAAGATAAACACACCAGGAATATTTGAAGGACAAACATTTGAAATTTTTGAATCATTGTTTCATGAGTTTAATTTAAATCTCTTTTCCGGAAGAAGGCATTTATGTTCTGTAGCTCATAATTTCAGAGGACAATATTTACTAATGATTATTTTATGTGTTCTTCCCTTCATTTATTTTTATGTTTCCAGTACCTGGATTTTCGATTCAGTGCTTAGATTGATCAAAGCTGCGGCTGGACCCAAATATGACGGAAAATTCTTGTGCTTCAAAGTCAGAGAACTGCTTGGTGAAACGAAGTTGAACCAATCTCTGACCAACATAGTAATACCTACATTTGACATCAAGCTTCTTCAGCCTGTACTCTTTTCCACATTCGAGGTAGCATATATATCATACTCCACTCATAGAACTTCGCAGTCCTCAGATTCGTGCTCATAACTTTATATTCTTCTGTAGGCGAAAACTGAAACATCGAAGAATGCTCTTCTTGCTGATATTTGTATTAGTACTTCAGCAGCTCCTACTTTCCTCCCTGCTTATTACTTTCAGACCGAAGATTCTTCAGGAAACAAGCGTGAATATAACCTTGTTGATGGAGGTGTTGCAGCAAATAACCCGGTTTGTTTCACCTTACAATAACTGTAATCTTATGTCTAATAAAGAAACACCTAGAAGTAGAACTAGAACTAATGCTTCATCAAGATAAGATCATTCAATAAAAAATCAGCATTGAAAAAGTAGGCAAGAATTTTGCTAGTGCTAGAGAAAAAAATATACTACAAAAAGAGGGTCTAGTAAGGAATGTCTTGATTCTTTTTTTTTTTAATAATTATCCCTTCTGGATAAGCGTTTTAAATGACACAAACTATCCTCCCTTTTCTTTTTCTTTTTTTTTCTTTAGACAACAAGATTCAGAGGGGGGGGGGCGGGGGGGAAGGAATCCTAAACGGGCTGTCATGTATGCATGTGTATCTATATTATACGACAAAAAATTTTTCATTTATCTGATAGGATACCAATAATTTCAAATACTAATGAAATTCAAACAGATTGCAAAGAGCTTATTATTTATTAGTGATATACTTTTATAAGTACGTAAATGAATATCAGAGAATGGAACCCTAATCTGGCAAAAGGGTTTCACTATGGGGATATCTGCCTATGTGCATGTCTCCCTGGTTATTTAGATATGCACATCTATATATTAAATTAGCGCCTGAACTTGTGCAGACATTAGCCGCAATAAATCAAGTCTCAAAGGAGATTTTAATGGAGAACCAAGATTTCTTCCCAATAAAACCGACGGATTATGGAAAATTCCTTGTGCTATCTCTAGGAACAGGTGAAGGGAAGCAACATCACAGGTATAGTGCAAAAGATGCTGCAAAGTGGGGAGTTCTTGGATGGTTGTTCAACAAATGCGACACACCTTTGATCGACATATTTACTCAGGCGAGCGCTGACATGGTGGACATACATGTGTCTGTGCTCTTCAAAGCCCTTCATTCTGAGAAGAACTATCTTCGTATTCAGGTAAATGTAAAAGAAGTTTATATTCTTTTACCTACAATTATTTCCAGTTGTACTTAATAACTAGAGTAAATGACAAGAAATCCTCCTCATTTAGACTATGTTTTTTTAAGAAACTTCTAATCTGATAAGCACAATAAAAATTCCCTTTTATGTTTGTTAATGAAACTGCCTGTTTTCCAATGGAGTTCTGTTCTTCATGTTGGGAATTCAACGCCTAAATCCCTAATGCAACAGAAACGCAGAATAGAAAAAGTACACCAAGATTTACGAGGTTCGGCAACTGCCTACGTCCTCGGGAGCCACACAGTCAATTTCTTATTAATCAAACAAGAAATTACAAATTAACAGCAAATCCCAAAACTGAGATTTCTCAAAGATGAACATTATAGCTACAGTGTTAATAATTAAAGGGAATAAACCCTTTCAATTCTCTCTCTCTCTCTCTAAAGTCCTTTCTTAATCTCCCCTCAATGCACGGTTGAGAGCAGGAGATGAAGAAGCAAAATCGTTGCTGCGATTTCAAGGTTTGGAGAAGAGGAACGCTGCTGCGTTATTTTTGGTGCCGCCGCCAGAGAGAAATCAGAGAAGAGAAGCAACAACCAAAACCCTAGGGCGACGAGGGGTTTATATAAGCAAACATGACAGGCGAACATGACAGACTGACGACATCCTGTCGCCAGCCACGCGAGCGTCCAAGCTTGACGCGAGGGTCGGAGCGCTTGGACGCGAACGTCGGAGCTTGGACGCGAGGGTCGGATTTCCCAAACGCGAGGGTCGGATCCAAAACGCGAGGGTCGCGTTTCCCACAATTTGAGCTCGCCTGCTTGAGCTCCACCTGAAACTGCGCCTGTAGTTCGCCGTCGACTTCGCCTGAGTCGACGCCCACGCTCGCCTGCGTGGTTCTCAAGCTCGTTGGAGCTTCGCCGGAGCTCCTCGCCGGAATTGAGGTTTGATCTATACCCCTTTCTAATAATCTCCCACTTGGAGATCAAACCGCCGTCAACAGGCTATCTCATCAAGCTCCTCTCCTGTGTGGCTCTGCCCTCATCATCTATGCATGAAGGCCAACTGAAGTTGCGCACAACTCCAGTTTCTGAACGGTCATCATCTTTGTTAACATGTCTGCTAGATTCTTACTTCCTGGAATCTTTTCCAGATTTAACACGTCATCTTCCAACAGGGATCTGATGAAGTGATACCGAAGCCCAATATGCTTCGTTCTAGAATGAAATGCAGAATTCTTCGCCAAGTGTATCGCACTCTGGTTATCACTGTGCAAAACATTCTTCTCCTGTTTGAATCTCAGCTCTGTCAACAACCCCTAAAGCCATATCATCTCTTTACTGGCTTCAGTCATTGCAACATACTCAGCTTCTGTAGTGGATAGGGTAACGATCTTCTGTACCTGTGACATCCAACTAACAGTTGTAGTTCTAACGATGAATATATAGCCGGTGGTGCTTCTTCGGTGATCAACTTCACCGCCGAAGTCTGCATCTACATACCCTTGCACTTCCACCTCTCCCTTACCAAAGTACAAACACTTCTGTGTGGTGCCTCGTAGATATCTCAGAATCCACTTGACCGCTTCCCAATGAGCTTTTCCTAGATTCGACATAAACCGGCTGACCACTCCCACTGCATGGCCAATATCTTGTCTCGTACAGACCATAGCGTACATCAAGCTTCCGATAGCTGAGGCGTAAGGAACCTTAGCCATACTTTCTTTCTCTTCTTCTGACTGAGGAGACTGATCCTTCGACAGGCGAAAATGGCTGGCCAAGGGTGTGCTCACTGGCTTAGCGTCGCCCATGCTGAATCTTTGCAAAACACGGTTGATGTACTCCGTCTGAGACAACTGCTAGAACTCTTTCTTCTTGTCTCTCGTGATTTGCATTCCAAGGATCTTCTTCGCTGGACCCAAGTCCTTCATGTCAAACTCCTTTGACAGCTGCTGCTTTAAACTCTTGATATCTTTCATATCTGCTCCTGCAACCAACATATCATCAACATACAGCAGTAGGATGATATAACTGGACTGATATCTTTTGAAGTAGCAACAGTGGTCGGCGTTACACTTCTGGAAACCTTCCTTGTGCATAAAGCCGTCAAATTTCTTGTACCACTGTCTTGGGGCTTGTTTCAGGCCATACAAGCTCTTCTTGAGTCTGCACATCGGGTTCTTCTTCTTTTCTTCTGAGAAACCTTCTGGCTGGTGCATGTATATCTCCTCTTCTAGATCTCCGTGAAGAAATACCGTCTTCACGTCTAACTGCTTGAGATGAAGATCTTCAATTGCTACAATACTCATCATGGTCCTAATAGTATTAACTGGAGCAAAAATATCGGTGTAATCAATTCCTTCCTTCTGCTGGAAACCTTTGACAACTAGCCGGGCTTTATATCTTCTGGAACCATCCTGCTCCTCTTTCACCCGGTACACCCATTTGTTGTGGAGTGCCTTCTTACCCGTGGGCAACTCAGCTAGTTCCCATGTCTGGTTTGATATGAGAGACTTCATCTCATCTTTCATTACAATCTCCCACTTGCTCGCATCTCCACACTGACAAGCTTCATCAAAGCTTTCAGGCTCCCCACCATCTGTCAACAACAGATAGTTCATGTATCTCCTGTTGGGTACAGGAGGACGAGAAGATCTTCTTAATATTGAAGCTGATGCGTCGGGCTCCTGCGCACCATCTTGTCCAACAGGCTCTTCTTGCTGAGGACCCTCTGCATTGGGTTCTTCCGAGAGGTTACTCGGGACATCATCTGCATCTACAAATATTGACTCGCTCTCTGAGTCATCTGTCTTGTGCATGTCCTTGTACATCACCTTCTCGTTGAATATCACATCTCTGCTCCTGATCACCTTCTTGTTTTCGTTGTCCCAAATGCGGTAGCTGAACTCATCTTCACCATAGCCGATGAAAGTGTATTTCTTTGACTTGGGATCAAGCTTATTCCTGCCTTGATCACTAATATGCACGTAAGCTACACAACCGAAAACTTTAAGATGTGAGAGTTTTACCTCCTTTCCGCACCATACCTCCTCTGGTATTCTGTGCTCCAATGGAACCGATGGATCTCGGTTGATCAAGTAAGCTGCTGTGTTGACCGCTTCTGTCCAGAACTGCTTCGGTAGGCCTGACTATACCCGAATGCTTCTGGCTCTCTCTGTCAACGTTCGGTTCATCCGCTCAGCTATACCATTTTGCTGAGGCGTGCCTAGCACGGTTCTCTCCATTCTGATCCCGTGCTCATAGCAGAACTTCTTAAATCCGGTGTCTTCATATTCACCGTCATTGTCGTTTCTGAGCTTCTTTATTCTTAGACCGGTCTCATTCTCGACCATAGCTTTCCATCTCCTGAAAGCCTCAAATACTTCTGACTTATGCTTCAGAAAGTAGACCCACACTTTCCGAGAGTGATCATCGATAAAACTCATGAAGTAGTGTTTTCCACCAATGGACGCGGTGGTTGTTGGTCCCCACACATCTGAGTGAACGAGCTCTAGTTTCTCTTTCCTGGGGGTTCTGCCACTTGTCTGAAAGATGACTCTCTTCTGCTTTCCGAGTATGCATTCTTCACACATATCCATCTCCACTGACTGTAGTCCTGAGAGTTTTCCCTTTGTGTGCATGATTTTCATCCCCTTCTCACTCATATGACCGAGTCTCTGGTGCCACAGCTTTGAAGTCTCATTGCCTGCTGTAACTGAGATCAAACAACGTGCACCTGCTGTCATATACAGGGTACCAGCCTTCCTGCCTCGGGCAATCATCATTGTGCCCTTTGAGATCTTCAAAACATCTCCATGGAAGGTCATGGTATATCCTTCGCCAGCCAACTGGCCTACGGATATTAAATTCTTTCTCAGGTCGGGAATATGCCTGACATCCTTCAGCTCCCATACTGACCCGTTCAACTTAATTTTCACCACGCCTTTGCCCACAATAGCACATGGTTGATCATCACCAAGATATACGTATCCAAGATTTCTGGGGGTATACTTCTCGAAGAATTCTTTCTGAGAAGTAGCATGGAACGACGCTCCTGAATCTAACACTCAAGATTCCTCCTTGCTCTCCAAAGAGCATATCAATGCGTCGTCTCCTCCTGAAGTTGAAGTGACATTCACATCTGCCTTCGCCTCCTTCTCTTTCTGTGCACTCTTGCATTGATTCTTGTAATGCCCGGTCTTTCCATAATTCCAACACTCGATAGCTTTCGAGCTGTTGCTTGGATTCCTTGACTTGAACCTCCTGTCCTTTGATCTACCTCTGAAGTTTGATTTGCTCCGTCCGTTTCCTCTGGTTGAATTTCTACCTCTTGACTCTGTATGCAATACTGAAGAGGTTGTAGCTTCACCCGTCTCTCTCCGTCGGATCTCCTCACTGAGAACCAAATCACGAACGTCGTCGAACTTTAACTTGTTGTTTCCCGACGAGCTACTCACAGCTGTGACTGTAGCGTTCCAACTCTCTGGTAGGGAAGACAAAAGTATCAACGCCCGAACTTCCTCATCAAACTCAATCTCAACTGAACTCAATTGGGTTGTAACCGTATTAAGTTCATTGAGGTGTTGTGCTACTGACGCGCCTTCCGCCATTTTTAGATTGAATAACTGCCGCATCAAATGAACTTTGTTCGCGGCTGATGGTTTCTCATACATATTTGAGAGAGCTGTCATAAGACCTGCCGTGGTCTTCTCCTTCGCTATGTTGAACGCAACATTGCGAGTCAACGTCAATTTGATAACTCCGAGGGCTTGTCTATCTAGAAGGTTCCACTCATCTGCCTTCATAGAATCTGGCTTCTTCCCCGATAGTGGTTGATACAGATTTTTCTGATACAGATAATTCTCTATCTACATTTTTCAGAATCCGAAATATGTTCCATCAAATTTCTCAAGTCTCAGCTTTCCTTCATCTGCGGCCATGGCTCCCACTTGAATCTGACTTTCTCTAGATCATTTCACGCTCTGATACCAGTTGTTGGGAATTCAACGCCTAAATCCCTACTGCAACAGAAACGCAGAACAGAAAAAGTACACCAAGATTTACGAGGTTCGGCAACTGCCTACGTCCTCGGGAGTCACACAGTCAATTTCTTATTAATCAAACAAGAAATTACAAATCAAGAGCAAATCCCAAAACTGAGATTTCTCAATGATGAACACTGTAGCTACAGTGTTAATAATTAAAGGGAATAAACTCTTTCAATTCTCTCTCTCTCTAAAGTCCTTTCTTAATCTCCCCTCAATGCACGGTTGAGAGCTGGAGATGAAGAACCAAAATCGCTGCTGCGATTTCAAGGTTTGGAGAAGAGGAACGCTGCTGCGTTATTTTTGGTGCCGCCGCCAGAGAGAAATCAGAGGAGAGAAGCAACAACCAAAACCCTAGTGAGACGAGGGGTTTATATAAGCAAACATGACAAGCTAGCGACAGCCTGTCGCCAGCCACGCGATGACGCGGACGTCGGAGCGCCAAAACGCGGACGTCAGAGCTTGGACGCGAGGGTCGAATTTCCCAAACGCGAGGGTCGGATCCAAAACGCGAGGGTCGCGTTTTCCACAATTTGAGCTCGCCTGCTCGAGCTTCACCTGAAACTGCGCCTGCAGTTCGCCGTCGACTTCGCCTGAGTCGACGCCCACGCTCGCCTGCGTGGTTCTCAAGCTCGTTGGAGCTTCGCCGGAGCTCCTCGCCGGAATTGAGGTTTGATCTACACCCCTTTCTAACACTTCAGATGTTTTTTAAGAAATTTCTAATCTGATAGTAAAACATTGATATTTACTTTATCCAAGATCTAGTGTTTAGTTATTTTCTCCCTTTCAACTTCCAAAACCTGTCCTCCTTACTTTTTTTTTTTTTACTCTTCTCTTACATTCAACAACCAAGTCTTGATTTCTAGACCTTTATCCAATTGCACAAATTTGACCTAAAAGAAGTCTGAAGGTGTAATCATTGTGGTCTGTTAGGTTGGATTCTGAAGTGCAAACATTTGCCCACATCTTTGCAACCGTCTGAAAAATAAAATTTTGGTTGAAGCTTGATTAACGGTCTAAGGTCAACAAGGGATTTTTCATTGAAGTTAGGTTAAGGTTTATATTTCTGAAAAGGTATGCATCAACGGGGCTAATGTTAGGAACACAGCAGACAAACAAACCACATATCGACGCTAAAATAACCAAAAATCAGAGAAACAATCACAAAGACAGAGAAATTTAATGAGGTCCCTGCAGATGGTAGCAGAACTATTTTGTAGTCGTCCGATCTGGGGCTGTTTGAAAATTTATCCAAATAAATTGAGAAAAATACGAATTTACTGTCGTCGAAAATATAAGAATATTTATTTTTTGCTGACCAATCTGTTTCTGTGACTAGGACGATACTCTAGAAGGAACCACGTCATCAACAGATATCTCAACGGAGGAGAACTTAAACAAGCTGGTTCAAGTTGGCAACGAGCTCCTCAAAAAGCCAGTGTCAAGAGTGAACGTAGAGACAGGAGTTTATGAATCTGCCGGTTCTGTTATGACCAATGAAGAAGCCCTCACTAATTTTGCTGAACTTCTTTCCCATGAAAGGCGACATAGAAGAGCAAATACCCCAACTTGACGATGATGAGGAAGTCTGTGAAGAAAAAGGATAAAGAGAAGCCGTCACTTGACAGAAATACAACAGTTGAAAAAAATGGTTTGTGAATTTATGTGTGGGAACCAAGTTGGTGCTAGAAAATGAAGTTCCATAAACATGAACTTTGATATTGTTGTCCAAGAAGTTAGTCAATCATAATCTCGAATCTTTAATATTACACGTGGGAACCCAAAAATTATGAATAATAGAAGACCAAAAACAAAGCACTCTTGAGAACGAGTGCCATCTAGTCTCAAAAAATAATAATAATAGAAGATGAAAACGCTGCTAAGATGAGTAAGAATAAAGCAAAAGAAAAGCGTATGGAACAATTCTAAGCATCTGCTACCTTAAATAATAGGTTATATTGAAGGTTCATGATAGAGACGGGCTAAAAAAATGACAGCAAAATGTGTCACCACGATCCATTTTACAACACTCAAGAAATCTCTCTTGATCTTGACCATCAACTCAAGCACGCATAGATATAAAAATTAAGAAGAGTACTGGAAAAGTCTTCTTAATTTTAAAAGTTATTTCAAAGTTCTTCCTAGACCCCCATCTCGGATATATATGTATAGAATTCTACAATGACGGAATATAATAATTCTAGTAGAATTAATTTTTCAAAATAATCACTAGAACTTGTACATCAGAGAGTTCAAATTCGAACAGGAACCAAGTTGGTATGTCACCAAGATATCCTGCTAGAATCTGCATACACATCTCTCAAGCATGTAAAAGAGAAAAAACAGAAAAAACGTTTCAGGGATTTTCTTTTTTTTTTTAAATACAAGTATGTCCCGGTGACATATATATCCTAGCTAGTCGTCTGCCTTAGGAGAAAAAACATGCTTAGATTCAAGGAGAAATCAACCATATATGTCCACCAAGGATTGAATCTCATGAGGCGCTGAGTAATATATCAGAGCTACCTCGCATTGATGTGCTTCTTCTTTTCAACAAGGACTTGATTATAACACTCAAACTATCAGTATGATATAAAGACTGGTCCTAGATTATAACACCCTAGCTATCAGTATAATATATAGAATTTGGTCCTGATGTATGCCTAGATTGTTGAGAAATCCTTCTTAAAGATGGCATCCTTCGTTTCTTCCATCAGCATCGATCATGTACTCTGCTCAAATGATGGATAAGGGAAAGCTGATGGCAGAACATGTCATAGTGAACAATAACTGAATTCTAATACCTCATCACATTTAAACATATATTGCCCCTTTACTAATTTCCATTTCAAAACTAAGGTTTATGTAGAGTCAAAAATGAAAGTTCCGCAAGATATTTGGATTAGCCAACAATCCAATATACCCTATTGACTTTTCTTACTCGAGAAGATGAGCATGACTAGGTAACAATTTTCTTTAAAAGATAATGTTTACTTTGAAGGCTAACTACTCATACTCGAGAACATGTGATTTTTTTCCCTTAAAAAAGATAATGTTTTGCAAATTGTATAAATGTCTTATGTGATTTTTTTTCAGGTTATTGAAGATTGGAATCTGAGCATGTTTGTTAGTCTAAGGGATGTAGACTCAAAAATGGAATCAAACAATTGTTGGATAGCAGGTTTCCTAATCTGTTTTGGTAACAGGATTCTTAATCTGTTTTAGTAACATGTTATTAGGATTCCTAATCTGTTTTATTTTTTGTTTTAGAATTTATAGTCTGTTTTGGTTTTAGGCTTTCTATATATATGAAACGCCTTAGAAGAGATTAGATATCAGAAAAAGAGGGTTTTGAGAGAATTCTTCAGAGAGATCTCAGAGATATTAGATCCTATTTGTGGGTATTGTAATCTTCTTCAATATTAATCAAAGGTGTGGCTCCCGAGGACGTAGGCACGATTGACGAACCTTGTTAATTCTGGTGTGTTCTTTCTTGTTTACTTTCCTACAAGTTTTTTATCTTTTATTTGTTGTGGTTTTTTCTACTTTCCTACTCTCAAACACAAGGTCTAGAAGGGCAATGGTTCGATTTGATTATTTCGAATCCCCAATAACTAGTATCAGAGCTTCGCTTAGAAGGATTGTGAGAGAGCCATGGCAGAGGAAAGCAAATCTAAGATCGAGAAGTTTGACGGTTCAGACTTCGTCTACTGGAAACCGCAGATGGAGGACTATCTGTACCAGAAGAACTTGTATCGCTCGGAAGGACTTGTATCGCCCGTTGATAGGCAAGGCTAAGGGAAAAAAGAAAGAAGAGTCAGACGAGGATTGAGAGATACTGGATAGAAAGACGCTAGGGCAAATCCGGTTGTTACTCGCCAAGATAGTCGCACGCAACATATTAAAGGAGAAGACGACGGTGGGGCTTATGAAAGCGCTCGTGAAGATGTACGAGCAATTGTCTGTCGTAAAGAATGTGTATCTCGTCAAGACACTCTTCAATCTCAAAATGGTAGAAGGACGCTCCTTCACAATGCACCTCAGTGAGTTCAACACATTTGTTGATCAACTCATCTCTGTAGACATCACGTTTGATGACGAAATGCAGGCCCTATTGATTCTATTATAGTTACCGGATAGTTGGGCAGGTTATGTGACAGTAATCAGTAATTCGGCGGGGAAGAACAAGTTAAAGCTGAGTGAGGTTGTTAGCATGATTCTATCTGAGAATGTTAGAAGGAAATCGTCTGAATCAGAAGGTTCAGGTTCATCCCTAAATTTCAAACAAAGAGGCAGAAGCCAGAAGAAGGGGAATCAGAACAGGCATCGGTCAAAGTCAAACAAGAAGAGGTCAAACTCGAAAGTTAGGTCTATCAAAGGGAAGTGTTGGAACTACGGCCAGGAGGGCCATATGTCTTCAATGTGTAAAGTACAAAAGAAGGACGTGAATGAGCAGGAGGCTCATCTCGTACAGGATCCAATGATCCTCGTTATGGATAGCGATTCTGATTCTTGGGTCATCGACTCAGGAGCTTCGTTCCATACCACTGCTAATAGGAAGCTTCTTCATAACTATGTAGCAGGGGACTTTGGGAAAATTTACTTGGGGGATAATGAACCATATAGTGTTGTTGGAAGAGTAAATGTGCAAATATAGTTGAAGGGCTCTAAGTGGAATCTGAAGAACGTGAGGCATATACCGAAGCTGAGAGGAATATTATTTCGGTTGACCAGCTTGGAGCAGAAGGCTATGTTTCGATCTTCACCAGGGATTTGTTGAGGATATCAAATGGTACTATGATTGTTGCCCGAGGGAATAAAACAGGAACTCTCTACCTCACCTCACATACGAGTGATACCCTTGTAATTGTAGCTGGCAAAGCGAGTACAGATCTGTGGCACAATAAATTAGGACAAATGAGCGAGAAGGGAATGAAGATTCTACATTTACAGGGGAAGCTAACCGGCATCAATTCTGTGAAAGTCGGTATTAGCGAGGGCTACATCTGTGGGAAGCAGAAGGGAGTTAGTTTCCAAAAGGGTAGAAGGTCACCTAAAGCTCAAAAGCTAGAGTTAGTTCATACTAACGTATGGGTCCAGCTAGCGTGTCTTCTTTTGGTGGTTCAGCGTACTATGTCACCTTCATCGATGATCACTCGAGGAAGGTGTGGGTATACTTCATGAAGCACAAGTCAGAGGTGTTCGGGATTTTCAAGAAGTGGAAGGCCATGGTGGAGAACGAGACAGATCTGAAAGTAAAGTATGTGACATCAGACAACGGTGGAGAATACGAGCTGGATGAGTTCAAGACATTTTGTGCTCTAAATGAGTTCAAGACGTTATGAACAGGACATAACTGAGCGAGTCAGGAGCATGCGATTACATGTAGGTCTGCCTAAGATATTTTGGACGGATACGGTGCATATGGCAGCTTACTTGATTAATCATGGGCCATCAGTTCTATTGGATTACGGGATTCCAGAGAAGGTTTGGAGTTGTAAGCATATTTGCGAGTATTTGGTTATGTGGCATATGTTCATAACAGTGGCCATGTCAGGGACATGCTAGAGGCTAAGTCACAGAAGTGCACATTCATTGAATATAGCATTGATGAGTTCAGGTATCGTCTTTGGGATGAGAAGAATAGGAAGATCATCAGAAACAGAATGTGATATTCAATGAGGAGGTGATGTACAAGAATAGAGACAATGCTAATGATAGCCAAAACAGTGGGAGTAGTACTACGGATACAGGTGGATCTGAGTACATGGATTTAGAGGAACTTCTAGATGGGGGTGACAAAGTCAATTCTGACCGAAGAACGAAGGAGGCTCCAGGTGCAGAGACGACTACCCAGGACGTGGAGCTTAGGAGATCATCCAAGATACTCAAACCGAATCTCAGATATCTCTCATCACTTGATTATTTACTTTTGACAGATAGTGGAGAACCGGAGTACTATGAGGAGGCTATGCAAGTGAGTGAATCTCAACAGTGGGAGCATGCGATGTAAGAGGAGATGGATTCTCTACATACTAATGAGACATAGGAGTTAGTCCAGCTACCTGTACAGAAGAAAGTCTTGCATAACAAATGGGTCTATCGGGTCAAGTAGGAGAGTGATGGAAGCAAGAGATACAAGACCAGATTAGTCGTGAAGGGGTTCCAACAGCGGGAATGAGTGGACTATACAGAGATTTTTTTCCCCTGTTGTGAAGCTCATAACCATCAGAGTGGTGTTGAGCCTAGTAGCTACAGAAGATCTCTACCTTGAGCAGTTAGATGTAAAGACTGTCTTTTTTCACGGTGATTTGGATGAAGAAATCTACATGAAGCAACTTGTTGGCTTTATTGAAGAGGAAAAGGAAGAGGTGGTGTGTAATCTCAAGAAGAGCTTATACGGATTAAAACATGCCTCAAGATAGTGGTACACGAAGTTCGACAACTTCATGCAGAATAATAGCTACATAAGATGCAATTCAGATCATTATTGCTACTTCAAGAGGTTCGAGCTCAGTTTTATCATATTGTTATTATATGTTGATGATATGTTAGTTGCAAGACCGAGTTTAGAGGAGATAAACAACTTGAACATGCAGTTAGCAAAGAAGTTTGATACGAAGGATTTGGGTGCAGTGAAGCAGATTCTAGGGATGTGAATCAATAGAAATAAACCTAAAGGGACGTTGAGGTTGAGTCGAGCTGAATACATTGAGAAGGTACTT